GTTAGCGCGGCATTCTCGAAGAGAAGATCACTATGCGATCCAACACTTTTGTAAGAACTCTAAGTTAGCACGGCATTCTCGAAGAGAAGATCAGATCCAACACCTTTGATAGAACTTTAATAGCGTGGCATATCGAAGGGACGATCACACTATACGGTCCAACATTTTTGAAAGAATAAGCGCGGCGTTCTCGAAGGGAAGATCAAAGTCTAAATTTCAAAGTTTGTGCGTTATTCTCATAGAGATCAATATATCGCTTTTTTAAATCGTAAAAGTTGTATCAACTATATTTTGGAATAATGGGAAGACAAAACTTACCTTTGTTCGTTTATAACTGTTCTTGAAGTCATAGTAGCGAGATAGTTTTCCGTTTTTTTTTCCGTTAACCTTCTTTGACGCTTGAAACTATTTGAAATACAACAAGCACGTGAGGACTCTTAATCTTTGAAAAATACACGTGACTCTGTAGACCAATGAAATTTTTCTTGTTATTTGATGCCCTTTTCTGATTGGCTCACACACGAGAAATTGTACAAAATGTTTCCTGCGATTGGGATGTGCGCGGGAAATGCCTAACACTGACCAACGATTACATAAATAGTGGAGAATCGAGAGTAAAGTTCGTGATTTTTTATTATTCAAAAATATGAAAGGCAGAGAAATGAACAGTTTGAATTGCCCTATTTCACTATAACGTCACATCAAAACAATCTATTGTTTAAACGCCCGGGGGGGGGGGGTACTCCCCTATTTTCGCTGTACGCGTACGTGCCGCCAAACAGGGTATGGAACAGGGTGTATGAAATCGCGCTCGCTCTGGGACAGGGTATACGAAATCACGCTCTCTCCTCTCTGGAATAATGGGAATAATAATTATTATATAATAATTATTATGGTTTTCAGCGATCTTGCTCTGGAACAGGGTATGAATTTCAGCGATTTTACTCTGGAACTGAGGGTCAGGATTCAGAGGGCTCAGCGGCACATCCGTACCCTAAACTGGCAAGAGTACCCCCCCCCCCCTGGGTTTAAACGCAAAGGATCATGGTCGTCGGACGGGGTCAAATCAATGCAAATTCACCGAAAATTGTTCTAAAACCCGTATCAATCCACGAAGACAAGTAGAATAACCAGCAAATGCTCAGAATATTTTTAGTGCATATTAACACATATTATATCTGAAAACCAGGCCATTTTATATTAAACTATTTTGCTAGGAGCAAATTTTGTTGAATTTTCTATTGAATTTGGTGATTCTATCCCCCACATAAACAAGCAGTGACGTCATAGTGAAATAGGGCAATTAATTAAACAGTTACTTAGGCAAAAAAGCATGAACTTGCATATTTCTGATAAAGAACTGAGCTGTTCAAGTGATGTCTTGAGCAGCTCAAGCAATTCAGACGAAGATGTTTGTGATGGCCATAAAAAGAAAGAATTGATCAGTTCACCCTACCCCGACAAAAAAATCATGATGTCTTTGAAGAAAAAGAACCCAGCAGTCAAAGGGATTCCGAAAAAGATGTTAGGGATATCGACAAAGGCAACCAACCAAGCAGTTCAAGCAATTCCGACGAAGATGACAACAAACCGAGCAGTTCAAGCAGTTCTGACGAGTATGTTTGTGATACTGCTTCACT